ATATTCATCTGTCTAAAAAATTTCAAGATCTAGGTGTTGTTATTCCCATTTTCACATAAGGAGACAAAGACTCAGAGAGTTTAGGTAACCTGCTTGAGGTCACACAGCTGGTAGCTACTAGAATCAGGAGTTGAACCCAGCTCTGACTGACTCCAGGTCTGACCTTCCATAATACCCATTCTTCCATCAGTCAGGGAGATGGAGACCAGAGGGATAGGATTTTTTTTTTTTTTAAATTAATCTCCTTCCTGCCTTCCTGACACTTCCGTGCATACCCTATGGGAAGGAGCAGGTTTTCTTCCATCTCTACGTTCCTGTTACTCAAAGTTACAGCTCAGCATCACCCAGGAACTTGTTAGAAATGCAGAATCTCAGGCCCCACTGCAGAGCTACTGAATTGGAACCTGAATTTAACAAGGTCTCTGCCGATGTGTATGCACACTGATGTTCGAGAAGCCCAGCTCTGCTTCACACCCACCCCCTCCTCCTTCCCGGTTCCAGCCTTAGGGCTAAGCCTTAGTGGCAGGTGAGGTGTTGGAGAGAAACGTCGGCTTCATCCCAAGGAGATTTAAATTAGGAGATAACTCACAATGCTTTTCACCAGGATTTAAAACTTGACTTTAGGGGTGCCTGGGTGACTCAGTGGGTTAAAGCCTCTGCCTTCGGCTCAGGTCATGATCCCAGGGTCCTGGGATCAAGCCCTACATGGGGCTCTCTGCTCAGCAGGGAGCCTGCTTCCTCCTCTCTCTCTGCCTACTTGTGATCTCTGTCTGTCAAATAAATAAATAAAATCTTTTAAAAATAAATAAATAAAACTTGACTCTAGGCCCTAGAAAACTTGTAGGATGGATTGTAAAACAAGTGTGTGAGCCTGTAGAAAATAGTTTGGATAGTTTGGTGGCTAACATCTGGAACCCACTATGAGTTCACTATGAGAAAAAAATAATCATTTCAAATTAATCACATGTTCTTCTTACGAGAAGTAATAAAAATTCATTATAGCAAAGTGTAAAGACTGTCATGAGACAATATGATAGTGACATGATGTTGAACTGATAGTTGAATTGATTAAGGACCAATAATTGATTGTATAGTGTTTGTGGAGGTCTCTCTAACACCCGGTCTGGAGTGTCTTTATGCTGCAGTACGGGGCCTCTCTCTCTAGCCTTCTCCTGGTCAGAGTGGTTGTTAGTGACTTAGAAGGCACAAGGGGCTTTCCACTAGAATTTCGTGTGAACGTTTTATAGCTATCGTTCATGGCAGGTAGATTATTCTATAATTAGGCCCCATTAGAAGTGTAGTGAGTCAGTTCATGGGATCCTGGAGGCAGGTTCCAGTACAGATGTATTGCCTCCCTTCGAGCCAGGCTAAGAAAATTTGAGCTTTATAAGCAGCGTGGACCAAGGAGAAGGCAATGCCAGAGGTCCATCCCTGGGGCAGACCGTAAGGGGGTGTTGTCTAAACAGAATTTAAAAACAATAACAGAACTGACATTTAAAAACCTAACTAAAGACTTGGTTTTAATTGTCACCTTGCATCAGTAATTCTAAACAATGTCAAGGATACAATACTCTTCTTTGGTTTGGGGGGGGGGGGGGGGGGGGGGGGGGGGGGGGAGTCTACCTTGGTCTCTGTTCAAAACAATTGTTTTTGCATAAACTTCAAATTAGCACGTTTTAAAATCACTTGCCCTTCAATTAATATTGTATCTTGCCCAAAGGTTAAGCCAGAGGACTCTTCTGTCATCTGGTCGACACCTAACACCCATGCCCTCCACCACGTGTTTGTTGCAAGAGCAAGTTCTTAAGGTTCTCCGTTGCTTGGCCATGGTTCATGTCTCCAGCCCCTGTGCTACTACGTCTTCCTGAAGTTTAAGTACATTAGAAATAAGTGGAGCCCACAAAGATGAAGCAGCAGAACTTCTCTGTTATTCTAGGTGACCACCTGAAGTTTGTGGTTCTGTTTAAAATGTGAAACAGTGAAATAGTGCAGGAACTGCAAAGCGTAATATTTGGTAGGTGCAAATTTCAGTTTCCACATGAAATATGTCTATGAATGTGAATATATCTGGATATATATGCTTGAGTATATTGAGGATATTATGCTTGAGTAGTCTAAAAATATCTAAAAATTGGGTGTAAAATGCTAGAGCAGTCCCAATGTGGGGTTGTTCCCTGATGGCACCCCTAGAGCAGATAGGCATAGAACTCCATGTGACAAGTCACAAGTGACAACCAGCATGATTGTGCTTGCTTCTCTTTCCTCTCTCACCGTTTCCCTTTCTTTCCTGCCTTGGGTTTGTATTCCTGTTCTGGGTCCTGAGACCCCAGAAGTGGGCGTCTGCTCCTCCTTCCTCTTCCCAACCTAAGACTTGCTCTTAGGCCTGTATCATCTTCTGAGAGAAGTGATGGCAGAATGAAAGTTCAAAGTGGTCTGGACCATTTGGAATACTATCAGCTAGGGATAAAGGGGAAGCCCCCCACTTCAGGTTAAAAAAGTTCAATGTCATGAAGAAATTTTGGGGAATGTTGGATAGGTTCACTGTCTTGGTCATGGTGATGGTTTCACAGGTATGTGCATATGTCTGAGTCTATAAAGTTAAAGATTTTGGATAGGTATGTCAGTCATACCTCAAAGCTATTTTAAAAAACACAGCATTGTATGGACACATTGGGGGAAGCTTTGATTTGGCTGCAGCACCCTTAAGAAAACTTGGGAGGTTCTGGTGTCTAGATTTGTCATTTGATCTTAAATAACTGTGAATTTTTTTGCTGAAAGATTTAACGGAATCACAATGTTCAGATCCAGGAAATGTGATACCGTACTCTGTTCTGGGTACCATAATTATGAAGCACTGTGACCCGCCATCCACCTTTGAGCGGCCAGGAAACAGAATTTGGAGCCTCATTGGAATCCAAATTACTTGGGCTCTTCCGCAGTTCAGTCTCTGCTGATGAGCTTCACATGCCTGCCAGAGAATGCTATCTTGACTTGAGGCAGATGTGAGAAATTTATAGCTTCCCATCTCTAGGGCTTTGTTGACGCCATTACATGATCAGGGTCCCTGCCCGTGTGTTCCGTTCTGCTGGAGCGCTCATGGCAGATGACCTTCTCAAACAGGGAATACCCTCCGTGGCATAGCTACGATGGGTGCAGATTCTTTGCAATTCTAAATATGCCAGTGTAATTCTACCCTTCCTCTCTCGCTGGGAAAGCTTAAGGGATCACAGAGGAAGGAGGAAGACATTATTATGGGGATAACCTTGAACCTGTTCTAAACTTAGAAATAACCACTAACCTTCCATGCCTGTGAGTACTTCATGGTTAATAACAATTATTAGCAATGCACCTCATAGTAGTTGGGGACACAGTGGTGTGTTGAGTTGGCAACCCAGAGACTGAAAACTGGACTTTAGGAAACCCAGGACCTAGCTTAGAGTAATAGCCCATGCAGTGCCCTCAGCTTGGCTCTCTACCTGTCTGTCCATTTCTTGATGCTGTCCTGGGACCATGGGGCTTGGCCTTTGGGCTATTGCCCTGGCATTGGCCACTGGATCTTGCTTGATTGCCCTGCTGTGTCCACCTTCCTTTGGCTGCAGGGACCCGCTGTAGGCACACTGAGACCAGAATGGGATTGTTGAAGGGACTGGGAATATTTAACGTTGAGAGGGGAAGTGAAGGGGAGTCACGCCAGTGGTCTTCAGATTCTTGAAGCACTGACCTGCCCAGGTCTGTTCCATGGGACAAGGATCCAGAGAGCCCAATGAGATGACAGGAGTATGTTTCTTGGGAAGGCAAATTTGAGCCTATCATGAAGAGGAAATCTGCCATAGTTAGGACTGGTCAACAATGGACTAACTCTTCTTGGAAGCAGTGCAATCTTTTTTACTATGGGAATTTCAAAAAGGCTCGGTTAGGGATGGACACAAGGGATTTCTGTACTTGTATGTTTTATTGAAGTTTTTTTTTTTTTTCAGGCTCTAGAACATATGATTCTAAAAACCCCTATTTTCCTATGCTTTTGGATCCCTCTTTAGACTATAAACTCCAGCCTGAGTTTACATACCCATTTTCCCCGGGAAGCTCCATGCTTCTGTGCGTACTGATGAACTTCTTTTCATCATTTCTCTGCTTCAGGGGCCAGGATTTCTTTTCCCCACATTGCAGAGATACTGAGATATTGCGCATCATACCAGATTTCACTCGCTCTTGGTGTTAGGTTATGTCTTGAAGTACGTTTCCTTCATGCTAACTATACCCTTTTCTGCCTGAAAGACAGCCCCCATCTGGGAGACACACAGCTCTCTCTTGGGAACACTGGGGGCTGGGAGCATGGGGTAAGGAAACTCATCTGCCTATGCCTCTCCCCCTCTCCTCCTCAGTGAGCAGGCATGAACTTCTCTTCACTGCCACTCACTCTCTGAGCCAGGAGAATACAGTGGATGACCTCAGTGACATCAGTGACCTTGTAATTGTTACTCTTGCAAAACGCACAGAACTGTGACATGTATCACAATGTGCGGACCCCATTTTGTGTAAAATGTATCATGTTTCATGTTCCCTCATATTGTAGATATGCGTTTTATTCTTCAGGGAAAGGGTCACTGCATTTCAAGAATGAGAAGTTCATGTCACACAGAGCACTCCCTCCCATGCTGTGGTGCCAGTGACCTGTGGCTTTTGGCAGGGGGACCATGAGGAATTTCCACCCGGTCCCTTGGCCTGGAAGACTTCCTGGGCTCCTCAAGTGTCTGTTCAAGTGTGTTCCAGGAACACCCCATGGGTCCACTATTCTAGCCTCCTTATGCAGGTTCACTCACTCTGACGGCTTATGTATTCCCAGTGCCAACCAAATAGGGGTCATAAATCTACACTTGCTGAGTTAAATTGAAAGGCTTATAAAGCAGGGTGCAATAGTATCTCCCACATGGTGCCCAATGTCTAGTGCATTCCTTTTCTGTTGTGCCACCCCAGTCACCCGTTTCTCCCTCCGTTTCCAGCCTGGTTAACTTTGTGTGCCACACCTGCTTCAAGAGGCAGGATGCGAAGCTCCATCGCTGTGGGCAGTGCAAGTTTGCCCACTACTGTGACCGCACATGCCAGAAGGATGCTTGGCTGAACCACAAGAATGAGTGTTCGGCCATCAAGAGATACGGGAAGGTGCCCAATGAGAACATCAGGTCAGAGCTGGGCCTTGGGGGTGGTACTTAGGATTCCCAAATGTCAGGTGGGGAAAGGCCTTAGTAACAAGCATTCCCAGGCCCAAGGAAGCCAGGCTGTGTGCAAGTCAGGATAGAGCCTCAAAAAGACTGGAGAGGGGTACTTCTGCATCTGGGAGCCCATCTAGAACTGGATGTCTGCAGCAGCCATTCCAGTCCACAACCACTGGTTGGAGCTGGCGGCAGACCCCTTCTCGATGGCTCTCTAGGGTTTAAGTCTTTTTTAATTGACCTGCCAATGTTTAAAAAATTGGGAAAGGCCACATTAAAAAAAATAAGGATTTCTGGTTTCCTTTCTTTCTTTCTTTCTTTCATCTATCTATCTTTTTTTTTAGGATTTCTGGTTTCTCTTGAAAAAAATAATCTCAAGATTTGGCCAAACGAGCTAGAACTCAATAGCAGCAGCTGCCTTGAAAAAATGAAGAAAAAAATGCAGAGCTTTTTAAAAAACGTTTTTATTTAAATTACAGTTCGTTAGCAGAGAGTGTAGTATGAGTTTCGAGTGTACGAGGTAGTGATTCAACATTTCCTCCTGTCACCCGGTGCTCATCAAAACAGGTGCCCTTCTCAGTACCCATCGCCTACTTTTCCCCATTCCCCTCCCGACCGCCAGTAGCCATCAGTGGGTTCTCCATGGTTGTATGGCAGCTCATCCTCCATCATCAGATTATGGAAGCAGCCCATGTGTCCATCAGCTGATGAATGGACCAGGAAGATGCGGTCCACACACACACACACACACACACACACACACACACTGGAATACAATATATACATATATTGTGTATATATATACACATATACATATACATATATATACAATAGTATACTATATATATATATACATATACATATACATATATATATAATGGAATATTACACACCATAGAAAAGAATGAAATCATTTGCAATGACATAGAGCTAATGACTATTTTTTTCAAAGAGTATTATCCTAAATGAAATAAATCAGAGAAAGACAAATACCCTCTGATTTCATTCATATGCGGAATTTAAGAAACAAAGCAAAAGACCAAAGGGAAAGAAAGAGAGAGGCACACCAAGAAAAAAATGCAGAGCTTTTTAAGCACCACAGCCCGCTAGTCCCTGGGCTTGTGCAAACTGCCCTCCATCCTCATTACACGGGAAAGGCATTTGCAATTGTTACTGGTAACCCTGGCGGCTAAGGCCAGAAATCTCAGGGCCTGCACTGCCAAGTAGGGCTGCGGGTTGGTGCTGGGAAGTGAGAGTGGAGAGCAGAGGAGAAGTGGAAGGTGAAATTGGGAGCATTTTCACCAGGTTTGTAGGGTGTGAAGTTAAAGTACAGAATGGAATGATCATATCCTAGAAATTTTTAAGAAACTACAAAATGAAATGGCTCGGTCAACCTTCGCATCCCCTTTAGTTTCATCTGTTGAACTCCTGCTTCTTTAAAAAAATTGTCCTTTTGGGGTGCCTGGGTGGCTCCTTCATTACGCATCTGCCTTTGGCTCGGGTCACGATCCCAGAATCTTGGGATTGAGACCCACATCGGGCTCCCTGCTCAGTAGGAAGCCTGCTTCTCCCTCTGCTTCTGCCTGCTGCTCCCCCTGCTTGTGCTCTCTCTCTCTCTCTGTCAAATAAATAAATAAAATCTTTAAAACAAACAAACAAACAAATGCTCTTTTGCGATTTTATTTTACTTATTTTAATTTTTAAAAAAGCTTTACTGAGATATAATTGGCATATTAGATTATAAAATATTTAAGCTGTACATAATGGTGACTTGATATATGTATACATTGTGAAAGGACGCCACCCCCCATCTAGTTAATTAACATGTCTATCACCCAACATATCCATCCTTTTTTTTTTCAAGTGAGAACTTTTATGTTCTATTCTACTCTCTTAGCAGATTTCAATGATACAATACAGTGTTATCAACTATAGTCACCATGTTTTACATTAGATCCTCAGACCTTATTCATCTTATAGCTGAAAGTTTGTGCTTTTACTAAGCCTCTCCCTGTTTCCTCCACTCCCCAGAGCCTGGCAACCACTTTTCTCGTTTCTGTGAGTTTGACTTCTTTCTTTCTTTTTTCTCCTTCCTTCCTTCCTTCCTTCTGTCCTTCTTTCTTTTCTCTTTCTTTCTAAGATACTATATATAGCAGATACCATGCAGTTTTTGTCTGCGTCTGGTTTGTTTCACTTAGCATAATGCCCTCAAGGTCCATCCATGCAGTCTTAAGTGGCAGGATTTTCTTCTTTCTTGTGGGTCCATCCATGCAGTCTTAAGTGGCAGGATTTTCTTCTTTCTCGTGGGTCCATCCATGCTGTCTTAAGTGGCAGGATTTTCTTCTTTCTCGTGGCGGAATAATATTCCATTATGTATGTTTATTGCATCTTCTTTATCCTTTCATCCACTGATGGACACCTAGGTTGTTTCCATATCTTGGCTCTTATAAATCATCCTGCAGTAAACATGGGAGTGCAAATAGTTCCTCACTATCCTACTTAGTCTTTCAAGCCCAAAGTAAATGTTACCTTCCGTGATGGGGAGCTCACTCACTTTATCTGCACAGTCCCAGTTGGTAATATCTTCTGATACTGAGTTGAAATCTTTTTCCCATTTGTCTTTACTCTCTAAGCTCTGTGACCCTTTCCCTAATATTCGGAGGTAACAGATACTCTGCCTGAACCTTATTTTCTCCAGTACTGTCCTGAGCTCCGTGTGGGGATACCTTGGTTCCCAAGCACCTGGGATGCCCAGCAGGGCATCTTTGCAGAAATAACTCTGTGATCCAAACAAGAGGAGAAGCAGGCCTGTTCTTTGCCAAGGGGGTCCCTCAAGGGACAGATCTGCCTTAGGCCACCAGACCCCTGCAGGTGCCTGGCCAGTATGCATTCAGTGAGTAGCTGAGAGTTGCCAAATGTCCCTCAGTCATAGGCTTCATCTTGTGGTCAGTTAACAAGGAGACCCTCACTGCACTCAGGGTGACGTGCACGCCTGTCTCACTCAATGCCCTGTGCTCTCTAGGACTCCCTCCTGTCCCACCTTGCCTCCATTCCTCCTCCAGGCCAGTCCCAGCCAGGCCAGTCCCTCCCTGCTTCCTGCATATGCCCAGCCTCTGGCTGCCCCCGAGCCTTTGCTTATACTGTTTCCCCACCTGGATTGTCTTCCCACTTCTCTCCCTAAGCACTAAGACTCTAAGTTCACACACATGTGGACATCCAACATATTACTTTGTCTTCCAAATACCACATCAGGGGATGTGTATTATCCCTCTTGTGGCTAAGTTCAGGGAGGTTCAAATGAATTGCCCAAGGTCATACAGTAACTTGAAACAGACATGAACCCAGGCTATTAGACTCCTTCTCCAGTGCCCATCTCAGTGAGCCATACTATCAGGAGAGACCAGGCTGCCATAGCTCAGTGTCCCCAGACCCCTTTCATGGTCTCAAAGACCCCATGAGCCCTGGTTCCTGCCCCCTTCTCTACCTTTATTTGCTCTGTACTCCTCACTCCCTAGGCTCCAGCCACCTTGGCCTTCTTACTGTTTCTCCACCATGTCAAACTAGTTCCTTCTTCAGGGTCTTTGTGCCCACTGCTCCTTCTCCCTCTGCCCAGAGCCCGCTCCTTCTGTTCATTCCATTTTCAGCTCCGGGGCTCCCCCTCCACGTCACCTCTTCTGATCACCATGGCTTCCCTTCCCCCAGCCACTCTCTATCATATGACCCTATTTTATTCTCTGCATAGCACTTAGCACTAGTTTCCATTTGTAACTTGGGTCTCCCCCTCTATGAAAAGCTCCATGAAATTCCGTCTATACAGTTCAACACTGCCTGGCACGCGGTAGGTAGTCAGTAAGTGCTTCTGGAACGAACCACTGCGTCGGGACATCCCTAACCCTGCCCCTGTCTACAGGCTGGCGGCCCGCCTCATGTGGCGGGTGGAGAGAGAGGGCACCGGGCTCACCGAGGGCTGCCTGGTCGCTGTGGATGGCCTGCAGAACCACGTGGAGCACTTTGGGGAGGAGGAGCAGAAGGAGCTGCGGGTGGACGTGGACACCTTCTTGCAGTATTGGCCGCCCCAGAGCCAGCAGTTCAGCATGCAGTACATTTCGCACATCTTCGGCGTGGTACGGTGCCTCATGACGTCGCAGAGGCTGGGGGTGGGGGGTGGGCAGTGGTGGTGACCGCTGGGATCGGTCTGCCAAGACGTATTCAGAGCCCGCAGGGCAGAGTGGGAGGGGAGGCTGAGAGAAGGACTGGAGGGGACAGAGGCCCAAAGTAAAGAACTTTCACCCCCTTTCTTTCTTTCTGGATTTCCTTACTAGGAAGTCATTCCCTCCCTCTCGGAAGCTGGCATCGCACGCACAAACTATTTGTTATCTCCAAATGGTAGATTTGGATAGAAATTTACCCTCTTGGTTATCTGTACTTTCTACTTTTTCTCCTGTTCGTATTGAAAACAAAGACCCATCACTATCCCTTGTTGCCCACCAGTCACATTGAAAATGAGATCATTCCTTTTCCCAGACACGGTGGACAGGGTAATGGAAAGCCTGGAGCTGGGGGCTGTGGACATTGGGGAGAGGAGAGGAAGGACTTTTGGAGAGTGCTGTCTTGGAGCAGCAAAGCCAGACCTCTTGTAGCCCTAAGAGTCTAAGAGGTGGTGGAGGCTTAGGCCATACAACACCCACACCCCTACACACACACAGACACACTAAGTCAGGCAGAGCAGGGCAGAGAGTGAGAGACCAAGATAGAGACCATAGAAGACTCATGTGAGACCCAGATACAGGAAAAGGAGGAGACTTCTCAGAACCAACATTTCTGTCTTTGGCCTTTGTATAGAATACAACTACCCAAAACTTCCAAGGTGGCCTTGCATTTTAGCAAGTACGGTACTCCCCCAGGGTGCTTATCTCGAGGGTCCTTTGGAGTGACCTAGAGAATAGGAGACTCTCTACGCTTCTCCAGAATGCGACCGAGTCTTCTATTTTGTTGAACTCTCAGCAGCCGGGATGGTGTTCTGTCCCTGATCTATGTATGTTAACTGACTCTTTCATCTTTTCCTCTGGGTAGATTAGCTGCAATGGCTTCACGCTCAGTGACCAGAGGGGCCTGCAGGCGGTGGGCGTGGGTATCTTCCCCAACCTGGGCCTGGTGAACCACGACTGCTGGCCCAACTGCACCGTCATATTTAACAATGGCAAGTGAGTATGTCTTTAACTGGGGATGGTGTGATGGGGATGGGGAGACCTCACAGTGTTTTCTCCACTTGACCTAAACCAAACCATGGGACCTGCACTAGTATGGATTTCAACTGGGCAGCAAATAGAAATTTCATTCTAGAATCATAGTGGATAAGAGAAAGGTAATGAGGAGGATAGTAAAGAATTCCACATGGGTAATTTCTGGGTCTTTGCGTGTTTCTTGAGGCTGCCTAGATGTGTTAGGTAAACCTCTGACTACTGCTTTAAAGCTTGAAGCCTGGGATTATCTATCTAGAGGTCACTGTAGAACAGCATCAGCTGAGAAGGGGCTGAGGCAGAGCATATATTAGTCAAGGTCCCAACAGAAATCAGAAGGCACGCTCAGAGTTTACCCAAAGAGAATTTAGTAACAGGACAATCTATAGAAGTAAGGGTAAAGTTTAAGAAACTAACAAGGAATGGTGAGATGTCCAGAGTCTAGCAATAGTATGAAACCATTACTGCCTCTAGACCTAGGGGTCAGGTGTACCATATTGTTCCTGCAACTGGTGAGAGCTGTAGCCATGGGAGAAGTTCCTTTCTCTACCCACAACCCAATAGCTTAGCTGTACTGGTAGAGAAAGCAGCTGCTGCTGGAACCATTGCAAGGCAGAAAGGCAGAGAGGGAGCTGGGTGACTAAATACCCCAACCTCTCTCTCCTCCCACTTTCTGATCTCCTCCCATTGGCCAAAATCCAACCAGAGGCCAGAGAGCAAAGGACCCTGAGCAATGAAGCCCTTTAGAAGCCCACACCCCTCGCCCCACACTCCAAAGGCACAGATCAAGGGACAGAAAGACAAAGAATATGTCTTGGGGGTGAGCACAAGTGGAGAAGTCAGCAAACAGGAAGAGACTCTTGTTGTCCATGGCTCAGGGCTGGGGGGGATTTGGGGGAACAAGACCTAAGCAGTATTACTCATTTTGCTCTTAGAGATGAGATAAGCTTTTATGACAGATGCAAGTCAACTCTGAGCCATCAACAGTGAGCAGATTTCCTTTTCCAAAACTTCCTGGAAACCAGAGACAGTGCTTTCTGGTTTTCAGTCAGGAATCAAGCCTACACCCCAGTCTAGCAGGGCCTCTGATTCCCCTATTCCTTCCTATTTCTGGAAACAAGGGCCTGCATGACACCAGGCTCTCGAGCAAGTGAGAAAGTCACTCAAGACAGAGAAATTTATTTGGGACCCAAATGGTAATTTTCCCATGGCACTTGCAGTTTGCTTCCTAAGCCTCTTGGGGTCACTGGCGTGGACCTCATGGAATCCTCCTCAGAGGAGCTGTTGTCCCAGGTTAGCCTGGTTGGATCAAATCCAGCCACATACAGGGCTGGCCTTTCAGGATGTCACTGCCCCAAGTCATGGTGACCCGGGGCTCCCCTTGTGACATGTGACAGCCACAGGAACCCGGGAGCCCTTTCTTCAGATCATTCCTGGTGTCTATTCCGGCTTCTTTGCATCCACTAACTTTGAGCAGCCACATTGTACCTGGCTTCTTGGCTGTTGTGCAAGAGAAGGTGACTACAGTCACCACCCAGCTGCCTGCCATAGTGGAAAGAACCCAATTCTAACCCCAACAAACTTTATACATGACCTGTGTGACCTAACCAGTCTCCATACACAGTTCACACAGTCCCCCAAGATAGACATCAAAGAGGCAACACTTACTCGGCCAAGGTGCTTGTGAGTGGGATAACAATAGCATCCCATTACAGTTTTGGGCACCTACTTTGAAATGTACTATCTCATGGAACTGCATTTCCAGGTTACAGTGGAGCATACTGAGCCTAGGAACGACGAGGACCTTTGAATCCAGAACTTTTCATTCCAGAGCCAGTGTGCTTTCTGCTATACCAGGCTGCGTCTGGTCAAGGGAGCCCTGCTGGAAGGGGCTGGGATGTAAAGCTGGTTGTCATGGCCAAAACTTTGATCGCACTAGCTGGGTTGCTGTGCCCCCTTGCTAGCTGTGCTGAACTAGCCAATGGTAATGATTCCCATTCGGGTGTCTGTTTTGTCTTTCAGTCATGAGGCAGTGAAATCCATGTTTCACACCCAGATGAGGTGGGTCAGTCTTTGCAAGCATCCCTTCTCCTCTGACCCATCTCCCTCACTTGCCTGGTTTGCTGGGCCCACCCTTCCCGAGACTCCGCGGCTGCTTCTCGGCTGTAATGTTCTCCTGCGTCCCCAAATCCTTATCCTTGCTGAATGCTGTATTTTAAATGCATACATATGAATCATCTTGTTCCTCACCCACCCACTCCCTGCTGTGCCTTTGCTTTCCTTTGCTTCTTTTCTTCCCCGTCTTTCACGCCTGACTTCTCTCACTCCCCCAGCCCCAAAGCATGATGGTCCCTTCTAGTCCACATCACCTTAGCAAAGCCCACACTGTCCCTCAAAGTCCTGCTTATCATAAAAGGAGGACTGCTGATTTTATTGACCTACTAAAGAAGTGTGTTTGTTTATAACCCCCAACTTCCCACCCATACTGGCTTCTGAAAATAGTCCCTGTAACTGTGATAATTTTGATAAATATTTATTCACACTATTCTGTTTACTGCTTCTGGCCAATTGTGAATTAGTGTTGTAGGTTAGATTTTGCTCTGACTTTTCTTAATGACAAATAAATAACCCCAGATGGGTCTTTTTCTCAGGTTTGGTTTAAAAGGACTTGAAATGTTCTTTGGATTAAGAACCAAACTCTGCGTGGGAGTTTGGGCTCTGGGAAGGCAGGGGTAGAAGTGGTTGGTGCATTGGAGTCTGTGTTGGCCTGCGTCACACCTGACTTTAGATGATTTCCATCATTCCCTGGGCCTTTACTTCCACATCTATAGAGCCAAGGTCAGGATGAGACGTCTCTAGGGACCTTCCTGGTTCTAAGTCTCTGTAGCTGTGGCCTGCATTTCTAATCTCTCCAAGAAATGCTTAAATAAATTGTCCACATGTAGCTCAATTAGTTGACCTCTAGAATTGCTGGGCATTAGAGATGGAAGAGGGAGAATGGAGTGGTGCTCACTGTTTATCCCCTGATCCCCTTTCCAAGTAAGGTAAATGGGGCACCCATATTTTCATATTTAAGTGACATTAAATTAATTTGGCTTTGGAAATTCCCTTAACATGATTGAAATAATTTGAGATACTGTGAGACCTTGCAAGAATTGGCTGAGCCATGATGGGACACAGAGCTGCTAGAAATCCTAAGTCACCCGGCACTGGATCACTGTTGAACATCACGATGGAGCCGTGCCTGGAGAAGGGGTTTTGGGGGGCAGAACTGCTGACTTATGCCACCAGGACCAGATGCCAGAGATCCACACTCAACACTGGCCCAGGAGTTGCTCACGTGGAACTCTTTAGACTATCGGCAGAGCCCTAAAATGAAGGGCTTTGATGCATCTCCTTTCCTGTGCATGGCAGACCCAGGAAGCAGATGGAGGACGGTCCAGGGAGAGCAGTGTGATGAGGTGAAGCATGACTGGCACTTGATTTCTGATCTTGACTGTTGCCAAGGTGCTGTGGGACCTCGGGGGAAGTTCCTTCCCCTCTGCCTCCCCTCTGGGAGACAGCGCCCTCCCTTGTGAAATGGAGAGGTTGACCCCCTTTGTTGCAAGCAATCAGTAGCAAAATGTACAGGGATAATTGCAGCATGGAAGCAAGGTATGGTTTTGTGATCTCTACCCAGAATCGATTTAATTGGATTTCCAATCAATTAAATAAATGGAACAGATTCGATTGTTGATGAATAGAGCAGAATTATCCAGAAAACTGTCAGTTAGGTCACATTTTCCCCTTTTGTGGGGAAAATGGGAGTTTTCTTGGAGTGCTAGTGTAAGTTGTCTTTGAGACTCAACTCCTAGAGACCTTGAAGAGCAGAAAGCCCCTTCTGATGGCTCTGGATCTGACTTCCTCTTTCCTTTACCCTCTCCAGGATTGAGCTCCGGGCCCTGGGCAAGATCTCGGAAGGAGAGGAGCTGACAGTGTCCTATATCGACTTCCTTAACGTCAGCGAAGAGCGCAAGAAGCAGCTGAAGAAGCAGTACTACTTTGACTGCACCTGTGAGCACTGCCAAAAAAAGCTGAAGGATGACCTGTTTCTGGGGGTGAAAGATGACCCAAAGGTACATGTGGCCCTGCCACTGGGGTGTTTGCGACCCTCTTCTCCACGAGCCCACGAGGCTGGCGTTCACTGCTGACCAGCGCCCCCTGGTGGCTAGTTCGTGGAGAACCAGCCTGTAACTGTCGGAAAGGTGTTAATGGGAGGTGGACCTTCGGAGCACTGATAACAGGTCCCAGCTAGTGTCCTGGGGCCACCCCTTGCCAGCCAGGAGTTTACACTGGGAAGTTGCTCGGTTTTCTCATCTATAAAACAGGAATGATAACACCCAGTAGACGGGGTTGTTAAGAGGATCGAACAAAATAATATATGTAAAGGGAGTGGCAATATAGGGTTGGCACTGAGTAAATTTTAGTTCCTCTCTTTACCCTTTTGCTGGTTAAGTAATGCTGGGAATTTCATATATTGAGACCAGATGGGCAAAGAGACTAGTTGCCTGGTTATCACAAAGGTATTCCTAGTCCCCTGGGAATGGATAATGTGGACATGGGGCAATGTGGAGGCCGGCTAACGTGCTTAACTCCTGAGTAGCCTGTTGTCTCGTTGATGGTGAGACCACTGAGCAGCTGAAGGATCATGGAAGGGGATGTCAGGAGCTCAGCTAAGCTGGGAGAGAGCCCAGCAATGGTATCAACAAAAGGCTGAAACTGGCCACCTCCTGTTCTGTATTCCCCCATGGAAGGGAGCACAGGTGGAGGTCAGGGCACAGATGTGGGGGATCTTCTCACTGCTGGGGCACTCAGAACAAAGGGTTCCATCACTTTTATAGATTCTGAGGTGGGGAGGGAGAGGGAGAGGGTGTGGGGGAAGGGCTAGGAGTGGAAAAGTGCTGGGTACTAGGTTGGAGTGAGAGAGAGAGTCTTCAAATTTCCTTCCTCCTCCCCTGTAAGGCCTAGGAATGAAGGCCCCTGGCTGGGAATGAAATTGTGCAAGGAACATGAGCAGCAGAGGGCTGGACTCCCTTCAGAGACTGTTCGGAGGGCACTTTCCCCCACAGGCATGCCAGGTAGAGCCTTTGTAATTGTGGTCAGGTCTGAAAAATTACACATAGGTTTTTAACCAGGAGCTGGACTCCTGTGGGGAGGCTTTCTGAGCCCCTCTCTATAGCCCATAGGCCGCCAGTACACTTAAGATACAAATACACAAATGTGCTTCTTGGTGAGCTTAACTTCTGCATTGTATGTGTGAGCAGAAGTTTGCCTCTGATTAGAGCAAAGACTATGAGCAAAACTGACTTCTAGGTACAGACAGTGGTGCCACTCTCAATTAATTCGTTACTCAATGCTATCAGTGCTAATGTTCAGATAACACTATTTCCCCACTTGATTCATTTCTCTCATTCATCCTCTGGCCATTCTAGACTTTTTTTTTTTTTTTTGCCACTAACTTTTTTTTTTTTAAGATTTTATTTATTTATTTGGTGGGGTAGGGAGAGAGTACGAGTGGGGAAGAGAGGCAGAGGGAGAGGCAGACTCTGCACTGAGCAGGGAGCCGGACATGGGACTCCATCCCAGGACCTTGGGATCATGACCTGAGCCAAAGGCAGACGCTTAACCCACTGAGCCACTCAAGTGCCCTGCCACTAAGTTATTTTTATTCTTAGGATGTAATATTTGTTACTCTTTGTCCAAACAGTTCTACTTCCAAGAATTTACCCAGCAGAGTTACTTACACATGTGCACAAAGGTATGTGTATAAAGAGATATGTTGCAGCATTGTTGAGAACAACTGAATAAAACCTAAATAATCACCAATTGGGAAAATTTAAATTAAATTACCTTGCAGTCACTCAAACCAATGAGGTAAATTTTTGTGGACAAATATGGAATGAGCTCTTTTTAAAAAAAAGATTTTATTTATTTATTTGACAGACAGAGATCACAAGTAGGCAGAGAGGCAGGCAGAGAGAGAGGAGGAAGCAAGCTCCCCGCTGAGCAGAGAGCCCAATGTGGGGCTTGATCCCAGGACCCTGGGACCATGACCTGAGCTGAAGCAGAGGCTTAACCCACTGAGCCACCCAAGTGCCCCTGGAATGAGCTCTTTAAGAGAAAAGAATGTAAGCTCTTTAAGGGAAAAGAATTAAGGGCCAAACACTGCCACTGCATTGGTTCGCTAGGGCTGCCATAACACAGTACCCAGAAGTGGGCGGATGACAACAGAGATGTACTCTTTCCCAGTTCTGGAGCCTGGCAGTCTGAAATCAGCATGTAGGCCAGGTTGGTTCCCTCTGGGGACCGTGAGGGGAGGCTCTGCTCCAGCTTCTCTCCTTGGCTCTCAGATGGCTGTCTTCTCTCTGCGTCTCTTCACAGTGTGTGTTTCTCTGTCTTCACCTGATATTCTTTTTATAAGGACACCAGTCATATTGGATTAAGGACCCCGCTACTCCATTAAGACCTCATCTTAACTAATTAAGTCTGCAGTGACCTATTTCCAGTAAGGTGCATTCTGAGGTACTGGGGGTTAGGACTTGAACATATGAATTTGGGAGGATGGAATTCAATCCATTACACTGTTTATAAACTATCATTTATAAAAATACTACCATTTATAAAAAATAAAAGGGACACGCACTCTCTCTCTCTCACACACACACACACACACACAGATCCATGCACACATATGCCTGTGTAAGCATAGTCAGGCTTGATACAGATGGTAGGAGGAGGAGAAGGCTGTAAACAATACATCAGTGATGCTTGGTATGGACAAATTGAGAGTCACCCTTCCCGGACAGGATACAAAGGAGTTGGGACCCATGAATTATTATGTGTGTGTGTGTGTTTTTTAAAAGATTTTATTTATTTATTTGAGACAGAGAGAGAACCAGAGTGGCAGAGCCCGTGCACGAGCAGGGGGTGTGGGGGCAGAGGGAGAGAGAGAAGCAGACTCCCTGCTGAGCAGGGAGCCTGATGCAGGGGCTCCATCCCAGAACTCCAGGATCATGACCTGAGCTGAAGGGAGAGGCTTAACCGATGGAGCCACCCAGGCACCCCAATACGGGATTTTTGTTTTTCACAAATCAAACATTCTATATTCTGGGAAATGTATACTGGCACGTGTATGCAGAGCAAGGAACAGTACCATAGGAGCTACAGGAAAGAATAAGCTCCTGTGTCCACCCTCGTCCTGACATTCTAGAACCTGTGGGATAATGTGTTTTATCTGTAATCCAGCCAGTCTTCCTTCCTGATGTGTGGCCCTGGGTATTTGTTTCATAACTTGCTCCCACCATTACTTAATTTTTTGTTAAGAAACCAGACTCTTTTCTCCCTTCCAAAGTTAAATGTATGTGGTAACCTGGATAAAAATAAAAACCAAATATTTTTAAAAATGAGAAAATAACACCACAATGTAGAACATTCCCCTGAACTGTAGCTTTGGAGCCTCCCTGTTTAGGTTGCTTGGGTTTTTCTTTTCTCTCTCCCCAGCACTCACCCCTGGTTTTCACAATAGGAAGGTACTAGTTTTTCAAGGTTGGGGAGCCAGCGTCCCTCTTTTTTCTTCTAGCCCTTCTCCCTTCAGTGACTCCTCCCCCTCTGCTGACTCCTCCCCTTCCTCCTCTTGTCTTCCTCTGGCTCCTCCTCCACTGTCATTTCCCCCTGCTCCAGTTCCTTACTCTTTCCCTCCTGGTTGTCTATTTTGTGTTTCTAGGGAGGGGAATCTCTCTCTGTAGGGTTCCTTAAATCCTAGCTGTGGATCATGCTTTCCTCTTGCCTTTACTCTGAAAAGTGGAGCCAAGTGGAACAGCCCCATTTCCTTTCTCAGAATAGCTTTATCACAGGTTGCACATGTAATTAACAAGCTTCTAACCAGGTTGTTTTGAGAATCTTGGCAGTTGCCTCCTTGAAAAAATTTGATTCACTTCCAGAGCTTGAAGTAACACTCTTCCTTTCAACGTCAAATCGAACAAGACTTTTTATTAACATCTGACCACTTGGTATTCTCCAACTCTACCCTGCAAGCTACCGATTACTGCAGAAGATTCACTAAGAATTTTGAGTTTTAAAGATGATGGAACTTAGAGACCGGTGGTCGTAAACTAGATTGATTCTATGAGCCACTGTTAGGGCAACAAGCTATGGATGTTACAAAAAATCTAGGTTTGGCAGACTAGTGGTACACCTCTAGACTACCAGTTACAGAGCTCTACAACCAGGTGAGATGTGGACCCCCTTTTACTTATGTGCTTGATTGAAATGAGTTTAGGAAAGTGAATATGCCCTAAAATGACTTGTCTATAACCAAGACAAGGTCCAAGCCCACAGAAGACTAAGTAGCACTCTGGGACTAGAAGATAGCCAGAAGCCAGAAATCTTGGCCATATTAAAGATCGAGACAAAGGTGAGATCAGGAGTGAGGCCTGTGAGCAGAAGTAACAGCAGCGGTGGCTACCTCAGTGGTGGAGTCAGGCCGTGTGACAAGGGCAGGTAGATATGCAGGATTCCAAGGAGGCCAGGTACAGAGGGAAAAGAGGATAGTCAAAATTGAAGGGATAAGAATTTCAGAGAAGCCAGAGTAGGTGAGGTGAATAGAGGCCTAAGTAGAAAGTCCATTCCTTTAGGAGATCCTGACCCAGAAGCAAGCCGTCCTGGCCAGGGCCTCTCGTACTATAAGGTGGACACTGCCTCACTGGCTCAGGACACCTGGGAAGCTGAGGGAAAATCCTGATCTCCATCTCTTAAGGGAGTGTGTTTTTAAGGGAACGAATGCCCATCCTCCTGTTACTTTTTGATAGCGTGGTGAAGGTGACCTCACAAAACAATGTAGGCAGAAAATCTAAATGAAGCCTCTGAACTCAATTCCTTATAGTGAGAAATTTGGAAAACTGGAGAACTGGTTAAGTAAATTATTTTGGCTTTATACAGTGGAAAACTCTACAGTTAATCAAAGTGGTAATGTGTTTTTATATTGGTATGGGAAAATATCCATACCTACTGAGTGAAAGAACAGACTATAGACAGAAATCTGGTACACTTCCAGTTGGAAGAACTATTTGTGCTGTTGGCATATACACACACGCCTGTGTACACCTACGGAATGCAGTTCAGCCAGTAGGTGCTGATAAGGCCGTAATCGACATGCTTCCTGTTTATGGTCAGTGTCTGTTCTGATTGGTCAGTGCCTTTCCTGGCCAGTTGTTAAATATTTTAAATATTATGCCTATATGTATGCATTGGAAAATGTTCCTTGAAATGGTGTGTTCATCGTGGAGTGGATTGTAGGAATTTCTATTTTTATTCCCTACTTTTTTCATATGTTTTGATTTTTTACAGTTTCCATCTATCAGTTTTGTGGGGCCCAAATAAATAATGAAGTATTTTCATTTTGGAAAAAAGTTTTATCAGATATGCCTAAGCAAAAAAAAAAAAAAAAAAAAAAAAAAAAAAAAAAAAAAAGGAAAAAAGAAAAAGAAAAAGTTAATTCCAGAAAGGAGTTTCTCATATGGACAAGCACAGCAAGTAAACTTTTTCTTTGGAAATTGAGAACTTTGGCACTTCTTTCTTCAAAATTGTGATGCCTTCATGGGCTTTTTAATTGAGATACCTCTTTCCCTGAAAAGCAAAACCTCATTCTTTAAAAATAAGATCATTAGGGGGGTACCTGGGAGGCTCAGTCAGTTAAGTGTCTGCCTTCGGCTCAGGTCATGATCCCAGGGTCCTGGGACTGAGTCCCACATCAGGCTCCTTGCCCAGTGGAAAGCCTGCTTCTCCCTCTGCCTCTTGCCCTGCTTGTGCGCTCACCCTCACTCTCTCTCTCTCTGAGACATAAATAAATAAAAAAATAAATACATAAATAATCTTTTAAAAAAGTAAGATCACTAGAAGGGCACCTGGGTGGTACAGTTGATTAAGCATCTGACTCTTGGTTTCGGTTCATGTCAGGATCTCAGGGTCATGATACGGAGCCCTGCATCAGGCTCCTTGTTCAGCACAGAGTCGCTTAAGACTCATTTGCCCTCTCCCTCTGCCCCTTCCCACCTCAAATAAATGAGTAAATCTTAAAAAAAAAAAAAAAATCACTAGACCATTCAGGTAAATGCTATAAGCCTAATGAATCCAGATTTCATAGAGACAGCTGACAAACTCTCTTATGATACAACCTGGTCAAGACAAACAACTAGGAACTGGATGCTAAGATACTTCAGAAGGATCTAAATGCACACAGCCAAAAATACCCTTTTTAATGAATTCCAGTGGCAAACTGGAGTAGAATTTTTTTTGGTCAAGCCTTAAGCTTCAGTCCTCAGCTCTGTGCTGGTCAGTATGTAAATCAGAGTTGAGCAAAGACTAAAATGCATGGGCATATGTGGTTGACTTGAAGTAATGAGGAACAATGGTAAATATTCAGGTGATAGCTAAAAATCCAAAATGCCAGAGAAAATACCACAGAGTTCAAGGTCCGATTTGGCCCTGGGGTCCAAAAACCCAGGCGTGAGTGCAAGGTGGGGAACGACTGGCTGCCAGCAAGGCTCTGGGGCTTGGTCAGTGGAAAGTGCCCCTGAGTCAGAAGCTTGATGAGGGAGCTACAAAGGCTGTAGGGATCTGGAGCTTCCTGTATGGAAGTGAAGCATTCAGAATGAGGAAGGCCTCCATTTTGCACGACACGGAATGTCAAAGATGGCGACTCTGCAGAGATGCAATGGGTTGCTTTGTGAAGGGGGGGTCTAACTCATCATCCCTCTCTTTCCCAGCCATCTCAGGAGGTGGTAAAGGAGATGATACAATTCTCCAAGGATACCCTGGAAAAAATTGACAAGGCTCGCTCTGAGGGTCTGTACCATGAGGTAAGAATTCGTTTTTTTAGGGATGGGATGGGGAAGAGAGCTAAAAGGTTCTTTGGTAAGCGGGGCAGTGGGCGGGGGGAGATGGAGTGGGTGGAGATGGGGAGACTACCAAGCAGGTTGTTTTTCTGGAGGATGTCCCTTGGTTCGGACTGTGACTCTTCTTGTCTTCACAGCCTCTTAGAGGTATGTTGTCAGGGACTGTTCAGCCTACTGAAACTGGGTCTGGGGAGAGCACAGGCAGCCTGACAAATGTCCCTGGGGGATCTGTGATAGTTCAGGTTGGCATCAGAGGTGGAGGAATGGAGATGGCAGTGGATTGCTTGCTTTTTCATAATTGAATGCATGTCCTGGCTACAGTTTTCAGTCTCTACTGAGTATTCAGCCCTGGCTCTCAAAGAAGCAGAAGTTATTAACTGTCTGTGCACTAGAATCATGGACAAGTCCTGATGCTCAGACACTGACCCAGGACAATTTTATCAAAATCTCTTGGGATGGAGCCCAGACATCAGGATTTTTAAAGCTCTCAAGCGATCTCAACAGGCACCCAAAGTTGAGACAACCACCCCCCAACCCCCCTCCCAAGTAAATACTGACCTGCAGAGCATTTCATCAAAGTCACCGGGGCAGCCTGCTGGAAATGCACAGTCCTGTGTCCCACCCCCTCTGATTCATCCAGTCTGCAACAGACTGCGAACCAGCATTTCGTTTCCAAGCTTTTTAAACATCTCAGGCATGTAGCCGGGCTTGGAAACCACTAAGGCATGGCAATGTGAGAGAACAATTTGTGTTCACTTCTGTCTGCTTGTCCTTTATCTTCATCCTCCTCATTTACTCATTCATTGCACATTTTTGAGCCCTTAGTGGGGTGACCAACACAGACCTGCTCCTTCCTTTCCGGGAGTTCTGTCAGGTGGGGAGATGGTTACGTCGATGTGTGTTATTGTACAATATGGAAACCCTGCGTCGGAGGCCTGATATAGGGGCTGGAGCAACCAGAAGGACTGCTCTGGCTCCCTCCTCTGATTTTTTTCTCTTCCGTACAAACTTAGCAGGGCCAGGTGGAGGGCTGGACACTGGTCCCATGGGTTGAAGAGGATTGTCTTTGAGATGAATGGATGTGGGCCCACATTTTGTCACACCCCGACCCAGTTGCCTCATGGGACTGGGAGAATCTCAGAGCAAATTTAGCTTCTGCTCATTTGAAATGGAAGAATTATGTGACATTTCTCCCATGACAGTGGCAAGGCAAGAAGAGAACAATGAGCAACTAAAATCCAGAGACCATTTGACTTTGTAGGGTCAACCTAAGCCTGTGTAGACACATGAGTCAGGCAGGAAAGCTTGACTCCAAGCTGACTGGTGTCAGGCCCTTCTTATTCCTCACCAGAACCAATGCGACACCCTCCTGTTGGGTCTCCTGGCCTCCTGGGAGCCTCTCTGCCAGCTCATCTTGCACACTTTCCTCGGAGAATGATTGTCCAACCTCACTGCACATAAGGACCACCCAGGGGCTTGTACAAACTACGGATGCCAGGGACCACCCCCCACCCGGTCTCCACACAGCCCCAGATATTTGGTTTCACTTGGTCTGAGGTAGGGCCCACACACCATGCCGTTTTTAAAAAGGTCTCCAGGTAATTCCAGAGCCCAACCAGGGTGGAGAATCACAGGAATGGTTGTTAAGATAAAGCATAACTGCTTAGTTTGAATTTTTGCTCCATGTTTTACTACCTGTGTGACTTTGGCCAAGTACTTACCCTCTCTGTGCTTCAGTTTCCTTATCTGGCAAAATGGGAATATTTGTAGTATCTGTGTCATTGTACTGTTGTGAGAATCAAACAGTCTACCAGTCTCTCCCTTTCATAACTCTCTGCTCTCTACTGATCATGAGAACACCTCTCTTTGCTTGTTGCCATGTCAGCCACATCTCCGGCTGTTACCCTCTTCATCCCCACTCGTAGCAAAATAGGACCGTTTTGTTATTCAGATCACAAACTTGGGCTTTTCCACCCCTGTCAGCAATGTCCTGAGCCTTAAAAGAAGGGGTGTCCAGGGTTATGGTGACGCTCCCCTGCGTGAGGGCAGTGGTAATGGACGGGGCCTGTGTCTCCTCCAGGTTGTGAAATTATGCCGGGAGTGCCTGCAGAAGCAGGAGCCAGTGTTTGCCGACACCAATCTCTACACGCTGCGGATGCTGAGCACTGTTTCCGAGGTCCTCTCCTACCTCCAGGCCTTCGAGGAGGCCTCCTTCTACGCCAGGAGGATGGTGGATGGCTATATGTAGGTAGCAGTGCTGGGTCTCAGAAAGTACCCTGGAATGTGTCTGTTTCAGGGTTGGCAAATAGACAGCACACACGTTGCTACTTCCCATTCCTGTAACACCCAGGCATCAGTAATCGATTCTGGTTCTCTCTATCTTTACGACTGAGCATTTTTACCGCAGTACTTTGAGTAGTAATAACCAGATCTTCAGGGCTGGTACCTGCGATGAAACCTATCTGTCATCTCTGGTCTTTCCCACATCCTCCAGCTCATCTATCACTTGGGCAGTGGCTTCTGCTTTTGGTTTTCTTAAGGCTAAGTCCCACTTAATTTAAGTGCTCAGAAAGGTTTGTCTCTCCAGCAGTCAGCATAGGCAACCTTTCTTTTATTAATAAATGAATGAATGAATGAATGAGTGAATGAATGAATAGAAGAGGTGTTAGCCAAGCCTGCTTTCAAACTATAAAATGCAGAGCCCCTGCCATCCCTCTGCCAGTGTCTTCTCTTGCCTTCCATGTCCACATTGGCATGTGACTTTGTATCTTTGGCCAAATGAGTAAGTTGGCACAAGCAGGTTCCCTTTTTTTGCGAGAATGTTATTCATAAACAAAAGCCAGGAAAATGGTGCAATATGCTAAAAGAAAACTATTAGGAGGGTGCCAAGGAGGTGAGAATACAGTTCTGTCCCAAGAAGGACATTCAAGTTCTTTTTATTCCTCTGAACTTCTGCTTTCCAGGAGGAGGGCTGGGGTGTCCCTGAGAGCTCCCCTCTTCCTGTTTTCCCGTGCGGAGTCCTGACTCTTTTGCCCATGAGGACTTGGCTTCGTGGCCCAGGGCAGAGTCTCAGCTCCCACAGCCTCACCGTACGGGGTGTTTGGTAGCTTCTCCCCTTCTCTGTGGCTCAGTCCCTGCTCCATGGGAGGCAGATGCCTCACGGCGCTGGTGGGAGAGCGGATGGACCAAGTCAATGAGGGTACTTGGTAAGTTGTCAGATGCTGTGCAGATGTAAAGAAGGTTGGGATTATCTGTGACAATTATTTGCTGTGTCCCCACAGGAAGCTCTACCACCCCAATAATGCCCAACTGGGGATGGCTGTGATGCGGGCAGGGCTGACCAACTGGCATGCTGGTAACATCGAGGTGGGGCACGGGATGATCTGCAAAGCCTACGCCATTCTCCTGGTGACCCACGGACCCTCCCACCCAATCACCAAGGACCTAGAGGCAAGTAGCATGTCGGGGCTGGGCCTCCTTTTCTGGTCCGAGCTCTCTCTACAGATGGGAGCTGGGTTCTGGACTCTGCTTTTTGGAAAGTCCATAGATTGCCCACTGGAGCAGAAGGAAATTCAGAAATGCTTTAGACCACTCGCCTTGTTTTACACCTGAGCAAACTGAGGCCCCCGGAAGGGCCTAGCCTGGCCATAGTCCCATGGCGAGTGGATGGCAAAGTTGAGGTTCGAAGCCCGAGCTGCTCCAAGCGTGGCTGGAGAAAGCCCACCCAGCAGTGTGCGTGCACCCACGTACGTTGCAAGACGTGCTGTGTAGCATGGAGCTGGGGAGCGCAGACTCTGGAGTCAGACTGCTGGGATTAAACTCCAGCTTCACCCCTTTCCTGCTGTGTGAGCACAGACATGGAATGTGTGCGCCTCAGTCTCCTCAGCAGTAAAATGGACAAAAGGGTAGGGTTGTGATAAGGGTTCCGTGCGTTAATGTGTGAAAAGCACTCAGAACAGTGCCTAGCAAGTGGCATGCTCGTAATAATTGCTGTTTTCCTTTGTGCTTTGAAGGGCTGGTTTGTTTGAGGGTGACGGAGTTCAAAGGACTGTCCTCAGGCAGTATAGTACAGGGAAAGAGGATAGATTTTGGTGTCATAAAATGTCTGAGAAGACTAACTTTATGCCTAGTATACTAAGCTTGACTGCTGTATCCTCAACCCCTCAGTGATGCCTGAGAAATAGTGCTTGAATAGAAATGTGGGAGCCTGGGGCTTTTCTGTGTGTCACATACTATACTCTTCCTGGTCCATTGTGAAGTATGAAGGAATCTCACCTACTTTATGTATGAGGAAACTGAACCCTCAAGGGATTGTCAGTTACCTAAGGTCCCAGAACGTTAGTGGGGACCTGTGTGCAGGAGCCAGGGTTCAAATCTAGGTCCCCTCTGGACCGTTCCTGCAAACAAGCCTTCTTTGCCAAGAACATTCCCTCGAGCGACTCTCTCAGGCATCTGACTCCCTCTCCCTAACAAACCAAGCCCACTCCCAGGACATTAAGCCCCCAGAGGATGAGTGAGTGTGTGTGTGTGTGTGTGTGTGTGTGTGTCTGTGTCAGTGTGTATGACTGTATGTGTCTGTATGCGAGTATGTTTGAGTGTGTGTGAGTGTGTCCTCTGAGTGCGTGCAGCTGAATCTCAGTGACTGGGAGTCATTTACTCTGTTGTCTGCCCTTTACAAAACGACCAAGGTAGGTCGGAAGCCAGTATGTCCCTATAGCCTGTTGTCACTGATGATGGTGTATCTGTGTCCCACAGGCCATGCGGGTGCAGACGGAGATGGAGCTGCGCATGTTCCGCCAGAATGAGTTCATGTACCACAAGATGCGCGAGGCTGCGCTGAACAACCAGCCCATGCAGGTCATGGCCGAGCCCAGCAGTGAGCCAACCCCGGCTCTGTTCCATAAGAAGCAATGAAGCCCTGTCTGGTGGGGGCGGGCTCCGTGCCTGGGGAACTGGGGAGACATTCTGGAGGGAGTGGGTTTCTGGGAAGACCCTTGATGAGTATGTTCACTCTTGTTGCTGTGGGAATGTACTGTTCTGTGTTCCTCAGGTCATTTTGGTTCATTAAACTTAGTTCAGTTCAGCTGAACCCTATCCCAGGCCCGCCTAGCCCAGCTTATCCTACCAATATTTATTGGGTGGAAAGCCCTAGGGATAAAGAAGCTTCAAGTGTCGCTGGGGAGGCAAAATGTAAACAGCTAAAGCAAAGTGTAATAAATGCAGTGGTAAACTGTATGGGGGGCACAGTGGAGGGCATTTGTATGGTATGTGGCGGGGTGTGTAGGCATTGGGAGGGGCATTATGGAGGAGATGACATTTGAGGCGAGGGTGGCAGGTGCCTGGAGCCTCAGGAGGCTGCTCACGGATCTGCATTATCTCTGGGGCTGCTGGTCTCATTCAGGGTCTGGAATACTCAGGTCTTATCCGACGAAGATGGGTGACGTCCGGCTTCCTCAGGTTAGCATGGAACTAAGAAGAAGGGGCCATGTTTGGACCATTTAGGTTCTACTCAGAGAACCAAAACCTCTTAGTAAACATGAGAATGAGGTGAATATGCAGAAAGATGTGTGGCTTTGCCCTAGCCATTGGAGGCCTCAGTTTAAGGCCTGGATTGCAAGTATTATTCAGAAACTATTTCTAAAATACCCAGAAAATGTCTCCTTCCCTCACCTTCACTGCCAAGCTTTGATTCCCTGTGATGTGGGTGCCACTTGGACAATATCTGAGATTTTCCTGGCCATTGGCCAACTAGGATTGAAGTCATAGCAGGATGAACCTGAGGGAGAAACTTGTGCGATGGTCTTGGGTTCAGCAGAATTGGTTTTGGGGAGTTTTATTTGCTGACATGTGCCTGGATGGTCTTTACCGGCTTAGACATCATCATAGGCCCTCAGTAAATTCCTGTTCTTGGTAAGGAATAATTATGATTTCCTTTGCTTAATTTCTTTCACTGCCCATGCCCTGGGATCTCTGCTCTCTCACCTCTCTTCTGGATTAGAAGAATGTCTAATCCAGACTCTGCACGCCTAGGTTAGGATCTCCTTGGTAATGTGACCCACTTGCCATCATGTCCTGGGAGGTTGCTGTGGTTTCCACCCAAGAGTGAGGGTCTTGGAATCAGTCAATCTAGTTGTCCTGTTATCTTCTGGAGTTCTAGAATTCTCACCAATGTTTTAGGGGAATCCTGGAGCAAAGCTCTCCATTAGGGGGTGTCACCAAGTCTTCCAAACCATGACCCCAGAGCTCCAGCTACCATCTTGAAGTGATCCCACCAGGCCCCATATTTGTCACCTCTGCCTCAAATGTTAGTTCCTCCATCCCCCACTTCATCCTCAGAACCACCCGCTGCCTCCCTCTTAACCTCTCCAGTGGCTCTGCAAATATGCCAAAAACTGGTCCAAAGCTCTGTGAGTGTGCTACCTCTTTACAGAATACTCATGCCTGGCATTCAACTGTTCTTCAAGGTTATCCCCTTCTCTAGAAGCTTTCACAGGAAGACTGACAGTCTTCCAAGCCTTCATTCTAATAGGCCTAGAGATGGCTACAGCATTCTCCCAGAAACCCAGAGCACATTCAAATGATCACTCTCCTGACTTCCTGTAAAACTGCCCTCCAAGCCTCTTCCCTTCTTTGTCACCATCCTCTGTGTACCTCTCTGAACACAGGCACTTCTCCACACTCCTTGCCAACCTCAGCTGGCCTTTGGGTGCAGCCCGGAAGTGTTTCATGTGCCCCTCATTGGCTCTCTCCCTTTTGCCCAGTAGCTATTTCAGGCCTTCACCTCTGTTGTCCAGTCTTGTGCTTTGAGCAGAAGCTCATCTCTTGCTTCGTAGAGAAACAGAGGTCAGAAGATGGGACGCCCTCAGTTCTCTTCCCACATTCATGCACGTCTTGTCTGTGCTTGACCTTCTTTCCCTCTTTCTCATGTCAGGAGCCCCTCTCCTCCCACAAAACTAACGCTCCACCTGTGCCCTGGACTCCTCTGATGTCCTCGGCCTTGTTTCACCTGTAATTCCCTCTCCACCCTCTCCACCTTGATGTTCCTCCATCCCCTGCCTTCTTCATCAACAAACATGCTGAGGATTCTTGGATCATAATCTTCGCAGCTAAGTATTGATTTTTAAAGGACTTGTCTCTCATAGTTATCATCTGCCTTTCTTCACTTTCCATTTCTTCCTGAACCCACTGCAGGCTGGCTTCCTGAACTCCACGAATATGGCTCATACAAGGTCACCTCTGGTGGCGTAGCTTCTCGTCCATATTTGGCTTCCTTGCATCAGGTGACACTCCCAACCCTTGATTTCTGAGTATCATTTCCTTGTGATGAACCTCTGATATCCGTGGTTTCTCCATCTTCTTCCCTAACCCCGTTTCTCTACAGGCCACCGATACATTGGCATTTCCTGGGGTTGGGTTTGTTCTTTCTGGTCACTCTTGGTTTGTCCTTATCTCACTCTGCACACACTCCCTGCATGATCCCGGGTAGGCCCTTTGTTGAATCACTACCTTGAGGCTGATGTTCTTAACTCTCTATTCCCAGGCCTTGCTTGTGAGCTTCAGCCCCACATGCTCTCTCGAATGTTCTCCAGGCACATCACACTTGGCACATCCAAACTGAAACTCTTTCTCTTTCCCTTGTCCCCTCTCCCACATCTGTCCCTCAACACCCCGCCAGGAACACCTGACTTCTGTTCTAGTCTCTCACTTCCATTGCATCCTAGACACCAATCTGACCTGCTCACTCATGGGTCCCTGAGTGACTCATGTTCTCCTGGGCCTCTCTTTGAGTTTTGAAACATTTTATCTAAAATATCTGTAACCTGCCAACTCCAGTTCATCTTTCAACATCCAGTTAGAAAATCACCCCTTCAGTGAAGCCTTTCGCCAAGGCCTTAGCTTCTGCTAGCTGCCTGTCTGAGTCTCTGATATCACCTTCAAACCCCCCACCAGAACACTCTCCTCATGGCATCACAGTTGCCTTTTTACTTATCTGCCTCCTCCATCAGATTGTGAACAGAAGCCGTGTCCCTTTAATTTTTTTTTATCTCCAGAACCTAGCCTGGGTCCTGGAATATAGTAGGTGCTCAGTTAATGTGTGTTGAGTGAATGAATAAGTGAATGAACTTGCTTATCTCAGAGCAGAAGAGACATAAAACTGCATATTTTGAGTTTTTATGTTGTAGCAGTCAACAAAGGCCATTAAATCATCTGTATTTCCAAGCAAATGTGTACGGCTTCTTTCTTTGTGACAGTCTATTTAGAACAGCACTGTCTAATAGAACTTTCTGTGATGATGAAAATATATTGTGTCTGTGTCATCAAATATAGTACCCACTCGCAACATGTGACTAAGCTCTTGAAATGTATCTAGTGTGAGTGAGGAACTGAATTTTAAATTATATTTAATTTCAGTTTAAATAGACAATGTGGCTACTGGCTGCTGTAATAGACAATGCAGTTTTAGAGAAGAGGGTACTGTTAAGATTATGGACACTGAGACCAGTGACGTTCCTATGTCAGCTCTCCTAATGTCAGCTGGATGACATAGGACTGGTGATTTCACCCAGGCCTGTTTCCTCAGTTCTACCTACCACACGGACTTGCTGTTGTGAAAGCCCTTTGAACAATGCCTGGCCCATCCTAAGTGCTCCAGGGGCACTCCAGCCATGCTTCTGTCGAGGATCCCTCCCCCTGCAGAGAAGGTGAGGGTGGAGGGCAGACAGGAGCAGCAGTGGGCCGCCAGCTCTGGAGAGCTGACTGTGCCCTTCTCTTCCAGACTCTGCATTCAGCACCATCACGTTGATAGCTCGATGTTGGCCATGGTAGGAATATTTATACTGGGGCAATCGGCTTAACTTTAGAAGAACACATGAATTTTGGGGTGTTGTCCATCTATAAAAATGGAGTTTGCTACATGAAAGTAACAGAACGAATAGTTAAAAACACCATTAAAGAAATCTTTCCTAACCCTGGGGTGAAATCTGCATTCTGAAGCTTGTGCCCCAGACCATGACTAACCAGTCTAGGACCTCTGATTCCTCCCCTTCTGACTAAGCCTCCGCTCACGGCACCACCAGTGTGTCAACAGACACCTGTATTTAGGGCCAGATACAGCCACAGCTTGGGCCAGTTGCTCAGGGTTTTCTTCTGTAAGGGTGCAGGAGGGAATAAGGAGAGTTGGGGCGCGCAGCAGAGAGAATGGCGACATACGGGAGGGCAGTCAGAGGTGCGAGCTCCCGGCCCGAGGTGTGCACATGGTAACAGGTGGTAACATCCAGGGCATGAGGATGAACAGCATTTCTGGAAGCTCCCTCGCCCACTCCTGGTCCTGCATTACATACAAATCACCCAGTCCGTTTGCATAAGGCCCCCGGGAGTACGTCATCAGTCTCAGAGAAGCCCCACACACAGCACAACCGGGGGCTGCCACGTGTGGTCAGTAATCTGGCATGAACTCATTCTCCTTGTCAGCACCCCCAGCTCAGCTTGGTCTGAGAACAGTCTGGTCCAGGCACAGGGCTATGGTTTCCCAGATGTCCTTAGGCGCCCGTGGCCTGTTGTTGCTGTAACAAATCACTACAACCTCAGTGGCTTAAAATAACACAGATTTATCATCTGACAGTTCTGGAGGTCAGAGGTTCAAAATGGGTCTCACATGGCCAAATGGAGGTGTCAGCAGATCTGGGTTCCTTCTGGAGATTCTGGGGGAAGAATCTGTTTCTTGCCTGTTCCAGCTTCTAGAAACTTCTTCTAGAATGCCCACACTCCTTGGTCTATGGGCCCAGTCAGCAGCCTTATCACTCCTCCTCTGATCTTCCTGCCTTCCTCTTTCACTTACCAGGATACCTTGGGCCCCCTGGGATGAGCTGGGATAATCTCCCCACCTTAAGGTCTTTACCTTAATGAGTCTTCCCTCCCTTGCATCACATTGCAGCCACGTGCAATTTGCCTGCTTTCTCTTCCTCATTCACCAAGACAGGGGTTGTAGGTGCTCACTGAGCTTTTTTTTTAAGCTTTGTCTGAGAGAGAGTTCTATGACAACACTTAGAGACCTACCTTGTACATTTACTCCACCATGTGTTATTTCCAAGTATGACTATACCACGATTTATCTAACCTTTTCTTACTCCTGAGCATTTTTTTTCCAGTTTTTGGCTATTGTATTCTTTATATGCTTTTTTTTTTTTTTTGTATGTGTTTAAACATTTCTCTAGGGAGATG